GGTTTTTTAACAAGTCTATATCAACTTTGGAAAAAGGTTATTAAATTATCTTTTAAATCATTAAAAACTAATTTTAGTTCAGAAGAAACCTCAGAATGGTGTTCTGCTAAGTAATTTTGAATAAATCCATTTACTAAGTGAGCTCCTTTTAAACATTCCAGAGTTGAATCATTTATATCATAATTGATTTTGATTGAATTTGAAAGTATTTTTTTTGTAGTTGAAATAAAGTTTTTGTTGAATAAATCTTCCAGTTGCATAACGCGAAAATGCTGTTCATTTCTACCTTCTACAAATCGCCAGAAATTTATTTCCTAAAAAAAAAAAAAAAAAAAAAAAAGTTATAATGATAATAAATACATTCAATATGTAAATTTCAATATTAAAACATACTGAGATTGATTCATCACCAAAATGTGATGGTATTCGATTTATAAATCTCATAACTGGCTCATGCAATTGTTGTATTATAACAGGTTGAATTATTTCGATATTCCGTGAATGTTGCGTATAGCCGGCCTAAAAGAAGTGTATTAAAAAACGGATATCGTTATTATTCATTATAATGTCTTTAAACATTTATAATAATTAAACAGAACAAACAATTTGAGCAATAACTTCGTGTTTTGTAAACCATCGTGTGCGTATTAATATTTTTTCATAAATCGAGTCAATAACCGTAATAATTTGCTATAATTTATGAAGTTAGATAAATAAATATTTGATTTCTAACTTTATAATTGAGCTAAATGAATTTTTACCTTGTCGTTTGTTTCAAGCAAAATTTCCGTGAACTTGTCAATAAATTTACATAAAGTAATATGACAAATACAATTATTCAAAGAAGTCCAATGATCCACCGTTTTAAGCACCTTTTCGTAAATATACAAAGATAAATGACTCGCAATAATATTAATTCTCGATTTTATTTATCATAAATTGAAATTTTGTACCTCCAGTATTTCTGCTAAAGTTAATGGTTCTAAGTTTATCATAAATCTAAGCACACCATCGATTGTAACAAATATCTACGAAATTATTAAATTGATTGATTGAAGTATATTATAAAATGATTGATAATTTTTTTTTTTTTTACCTTTCGAAATTCGATTGATGATGGACAAAAGTCTGATAGCGAACCAATGCAATTAATAGAATTTTTTAAAATAGTCAATGCGATATTAAATAAGACATATTTAACGTCGCCTTCATCTTTGATGCACCATGGTATTGAATTTTTGGATTGTAAAACAAGTAAATACTAAAAATAATATCATAAAGCAATATTAATATTTCTTTATAACATCAGGGATGTAAAATACTTTTTTTTAAAACATAACACTTGCAGTTGAGAACAAGTCATCGACAGAATGTATCGAATTCTTTTCAAGGTATGAATTAATCAATGTATACAATTTCATGCAATTAACCGAATTATTCTATGTCAACATATTTTTTATATTTAATTAATCATTATTAAGTAGGCAAAAAAAATCTAGTATTAATTATCCAAATAATAACCTCGACGTCATTTGCGTAGACAGTTGTAGATAATGTTTGTGTAATGTTTTCACTTGTTTGTAAGGTATAAGAAAGAGCAAACTTTGATAATTTAAGCTATATATTGAGGTTTTTTTTTAGCAATGAATCATTGAAATAAAATAAAATGTCATGATATCTGATATAAAATAAATAATTATAACCTGCTGCTCTACATTGAGAAATGCGAATAAGCGTTTAAATAGCCTCCTTAGTCGGTAACGAGTTGAAGGCGTACATACAAGGCCAATTATCTATAACAGTATAAACATTTAGTTGACTCTTTTTATTCTTAAAAATGAAAAAGTAATGAATTACTTACAATTTCTAATATTAGCATAGCTTCTTGATACAACACATGACTGTCTAAAACCTTACCAACACAACCCCAGCAGTCAATGATCAAGGTACATAGAATAAAACTCCGTGAAAGCAACAATGATTCCAGCATGCGATATTCAAACACTATAAATAGAGACTCGGGCAATATGTTTGCGAATATGCACAAGGTGCTCACAATATGGATATAAAGATTATCTTCTAGTTGAATACCAAACGAAACGTTTTGCAAAGGATACACGTTTCTATCGATAGACATAACCATCGGTGTAAGTAAATTACATTCCGGATAATTCTCCAATACATCGAAAAAGGTTTTCAATATACAAAATGTTTGTTTTGAATCCTTTGTTAATAATGGATTCGGTAATAATTTTGTTTGTAAAGAGATTGGAATATCATTAATATTTATTAAAATCATTTGTAAAAAATGAACTTTTGCAAAGGTAAAATCCACAGCTTCTACAATTTCAGGTATAATCGAATTTTCACGATTCATGGCATCAAAGGATAGATGAGCAAAATTTAATATCATGGTATAGCACTCATCTTCGCTCGCTATGTTATTTAGGAGCAACGCGGCAAAGATGTTGTTGACAATAGGGAGAATACGTTCCTGCAACAAATTATTGGCGTATACCGGTATTAAGCAGTTGGGTGATAATTTGCTTGAAAAAAAAAAAAGATAATTTAAGATATGATTATTAACATATCAATTTAGTTTAAATAAGTAAAATTTTTGTACCTTAAAAGAAAAATTAAAGTATATTGTATCGTTCGAACAGTAGATTGGTATTCATTCCTCAGAATTACTTCAGCATAACATTTTATAATGCTCAATAAATGGGTAATATAAAATCGAACAATTGTCGACATT